GGGAAATATACAAATGTATGCGTAGTACAACTGCCTCTCAAATGTTATAGATATTTCAGGGATCAAACCAGAACCTTTGCACCAAAGTCCGAGTCACAACCAAGCGTGGAATCATTAATTACAAAATAATATTTAAAAAGTTGTGTAAATTACGTTAGCTAAGTACAGACAATTAAATTATGTCAATGAGTCACCTATGACGAGAAGTACTACACATGAGGCACCGAATGCTAGGGCGGGTGTGGGCGTGCAATCCAGATGTATGCAATTAATAACTTCCTGAAAGAACAGAACACCCCTATCGTCAAAGTGGTGGGAAGGCAATATAGTTTGAATGAGTCATCGACCCCCACTGAGTAAATGGCAGACTGGCGATGAAAAATGTTGTGATAAAGGGAAGCGCAAAGGTTGATAATTAATGCGAAGAGTTATCGAATCAGCCATTCCATTCCCAATTTGAAGTTGTACAGTAGTCAGCTTTGTTTTGAGTTAACAACACTGAGAGACTGAACCAAGCTACCGACTACGTATGCTAAAGAAGCCTCTTTCACACGATCCGGCGTCACTAACTTTTTAAACTTCATAAATCATCGACATAGCCCCCCCCCCCTCACTCCCGCTCCGATCCCTCCCATAACGTTGTGTGTACAACTAGTGTACTGACTGTGATCAAAACACTTGTTTAAAGCCGAAAGCTCAATTGCATTTGAACTAAAACATTGCATTACGACAAAAGCACAGTGCCGCTTTAACATTCTGGTTTGCCCGTTGTTAAGGATGTAAAAAAAAATACCACGCTATAAAATAACGTAAAATTCCCCTACTTGACAAGCGCCTGGTGATGGTTAAGAATTAATTTTGCCTAAATTGGTCAGTTAAATGACACGACACAAGTAAAAATTCTAGCCGATTCCAGTTGATCCCAAGGTTATGATGAAGTTTAGGTAGCGGTTGTGTTGACGTTGAGGTTACGTAGAGTAGAGGTTGAGGTTATGTTGAACTGAACGAATAGAGAACAGACGAGGAGAAGCGCGCGCCGGCCGGCGACGGCGACCCACTTCCGTTGACCTCTCCCTCCCTCCCTACTCAACAACCTACACACACAGCACTCCAAAAATGTAGCCCACTACTCGCGCTCTTTCTCTAGCCTTCAAAAATTGACTGATTGTCTTTAACAATAAACGAGTTAACCTCGGCCCAGAATATGAGAATTAAATGATTCAAAGTTAAGAGGCTATATTGTTGTACAGTAGGCCCAGTGGCGTTGCTTAGTTAAATTCCAGGGGGGGGAGAAGCCTCAAATTTCCCAACTACTTAACATAGTTTTCCCAACAATTTTTTATTTTAAGAAATCAATTTCTGTACTATTTTTAAAAATCTACAAATTATTATACCACACTCCAGTCACACTCAATTCAGTATTTATTAACTTGCATTAACAAGACATGGCTAGTTTTACATATAAAATTACTCACCAATACATAATGAAATTTTATGACTTCAAAAAACTTGAATACGGTTACCAAAGTATTGTTTAAATCAAAAAAACTTTACAAACCATTGTGGTAGCAGACGTAGCAGTGTAAAATTTTGGGGATATAAAATAAGCCTAACTTCGTACAAATTAGTATAGAAAAAAATATTTTATTACAAAATTATGAAATTAAAATACTTTTAGAAGTTGATATTAAGATCAAAACTTTAACTTTCAAAGTTCATGGATACTTTGGGATTTACGTATGGATGATCTTAACCGATGAATCAGCTGATCTTAGTCAGTAACAAAGCTACTTCATCCTTCGTAATCATATTTCCGTTCAAATACGAGCTAGAAGTGATCTCAATTAATTGATAATTTAATTGCTAACTTACAGTGGTACCGGTATCGAGGAATATGACTATAGTAAACACCTTTTGGAGTTTGACATTTAGATTACTGTCACAAAATAGAGTGTACGTCCTCCCTGGTTTATTAGAATAGGGAAAGTTACAGAAGGTCTATTTATTTAATAATAACCAATTGTTGCATTACGGTAGGTCTAAAACAGTCCAATTATTTAACTGTAAGAATACAGTAATTAAGTTAATTAGGGTTAAACATTTGAGGCTGGTCTGATATTTAAAGACATATCCTGCCAGGCACAAATTTGGCAAAGGCTTTCTGTTTTAGGCTGGAACATATTATTAAACAATAATAAATGACACTGTCCCGTGTTATAAATAGTTTCAGAAAATATAGTTTACCCAGTCGGACGCATGATGCATTTATTCTATAGCCTATAATATATGTAACCTGCCAGTTACATGCCCACTATCTAAAAAGCAAGCACTTATTCACATCAATCACTTGTGTACACTATCCTAGACACTATCAGGCTCACGATATCACAAAAACATGTTAAACTGTCACAACAAAGAGGTGCTGGCAAAACCTTCATAATTTTGATTACACCCCATAGTAAAATAAACGCTCCTAAAACCGACACCTAGATCTGGGATGTAGGCCAGTATATTATTCATTTATAACTAGGCCTAAGTATGTGTTATTACTTTCTCCTCCTATCATACATAGTAGGTAGAAACCTACTATGGAGAAAGTATTGTTTTTGTCAAAATTTTCAAGTTTCGAATTTTAAGCGGATATCCATTTTGGGTCCCCCTGACTGAACCCAAAAAAGTGGTTTTCGAAGTGATGTCTGTGTGTGTTTGTGTGTGTGGATGTATACAGAGCTACAGACCACACCTGTAGTCCGGTTTTGATGAAATTTGGTATGTAGGCTAGGCCTAGGTAGGAATCCATGATCCAGGTGTTTATGTTTATTTTTTTTTATGGGGAATTTCTCATAAAAACCCATAAAATAACTGAAAAATCACATTTTCTCAAAAATGGCCAAAAAATTTTTTATAAAAATTTAGTATGTTACAGTCCTTCAGCTTCTGAACAAAATTTGGTACAAATCCCATTAACTTACTGTAAAAATTACGGTTCAAAAGTTATTGTAACTTACGGTAGGGACCTACTTAAGTTTAATGTTATTTTCCCATAAAAAATCATAGAAAATGTGTTATGGCCCTTATAATTCGAAACAAAATAATGCAACCCCCATTACTGTAACAATTACGGTTCAAAAGTTGCAACTTTTGTGATTTTTTCCTACGAAATAGTTACTCCCCCCCCCGCTTAGGCCTACCCATGATAAAGGGTGTTGGCAAGCTTATGGGAAAAAGTATATGTGTCAGATTGCTGATACGGTAGGCCTACCGTTTATTCTAAATTAAAAACTACTAGCTATGAAACTAGTTGCATCACATAGAGCTCGTGCGTTTCTTAGTGAAGCCTGGGGATAGGTGGTTAAAGTGGCTCTGAACCGGTTTTGTAGGGGTGGGGGTACGCCGAAAATCAGTCTGCACTCTCACCCTGTCCGAGCAACATCACAGATTACTCTCTTTTTCAAAAACATTCGGGATGCCAGCTCGATTACGGTATCTTAAAACTTAATTTGTTTTTTTCTTAGTTTATAGTGGTGTGAAAATAATTTTTTTTAGGTTCGTTTAAGCCATAGTTTTGTATAATAGTAATGCATTATTTGTACTTTCTTTTGCCCACGAAAAATCTCTGGCTCATTAACGAGTACATTTTGGAGTAATGTATTAAAAATAGCCTACTCTAAATTTTAATATAGAGAATTTTATAAAATATGTTATCCTCCATTCAAAAACATTTTCATATTCCTCTTAATTAGGTAAAAAATTAGATATTTGTTGAAAGTACTCATCACACAACTAACTTACTGTCGTGCGAGGAACCTGAACCGCCTCCGCACCGCGTTCCGAACTCCGAAAAATGTCTTTAGTCAGACTAGTACATCAGAATAGGACGACGACATCAACTTCCCCTCTCGCGCTCGGCTCCCCACATGCCACTACAGCCCCTCGCACCCAGGCTTCACGAAGAAACGCACGAACTCTACACTACACTGATCTTAAGGCCTACCGTACTAGATATATTATAAAAATCGAACGTGGTGTCTGTCTGTATGTGTATTACAAATAGGCGCAACATTATGTAGGCCTATATAGCCTACCAGCCTACCTTTGGGAAACATTTAAAATAGCCTAACTTAAGATTTTTAAGCTAAGTTTATAGGCTAAGTTAAATTGTTGATAGTTTTTGCTCTAGACGTACAAATGATTATTAAATATGCTACTGGTAACTTAAGTATTGGTCTTCTAGAAAATCTAGAAACCAACAAGTAAAATCATAAATATCCGCTTTAAAATCTCAAATAGGCCTAACTTACGTTCATGCAACCGAGCTTGTGAATGAGTTAGCATGATCATGATTGGATTGAATTATGAAACAGGGGTTTACCTTAGACAGCTTAAGTAACTTAGAGAGATGGGTAAAAAATGGGGTTTTCTCATTTTTTAAGCTAAAAACAAAACGCCCAGAGGATATACGCTTCCAGAGACCGAAGGTGGATTAGGTGTCCGGTAGTTGTGGGGGCCCGGAACACCATTACCACAATGATACGATGTACAGCCTTCGGTGTTGGTGGTGTAGTGGATAGAGTACACTGCTGATAAAAGACTAGATCGTATCCCATCGATGACACTAACATTTTCTCAAACAACTTATTATTTAGCTTTTACCTTAGGCCTATTTAGCCATTTTCTCCACTACTCTTCCATATCCATCCACAAACGACCGAATGAAAATATCGATCGATAGGGAAGTATTCTCCCTATGTTGGTTAGTTAGGTAAGATTAACCTAACCTAACTAACCAAACAATAGGATCGAACTAAACAATTGAATAATTTTAATCAATATCTACTACTCATTCGTTTGTTTGTGCCAACAGATATGGAAGACACTGGTTGATAGCCTAGGCCTAGGCCTAAGTCCAAGTTTAAACATGTGTGAGTCAGTCATAGAGCCGGTAAGTTTTAAGTTAGGCTTAACTTAGTAGCTGTTTGAATAAGGTTTACAGCACTTACTTGGACTTCAAATCTTCATTTTCAGTATAGAGCCTTCGAATATCCAATTCCAGTTTAGCCTTCTCCCTTGATAGTTCATCAAGTAGTTTTCTGGCGTCTGACAGCTCACCTTCGTACATACTTTTAACACTTGTGATCTCGCGGGTCTTGGTCTCCTCATGAGTGCGAACTTCCCTTGTAAGTCGATTATTTTCATTTTCCAAGTGCCTTACTTTGTCAATGTAATTTGCTAATCGATCATTCAAGTTGCACAATTCGTTCTTTTCTTGTAGCCGGCTAAACCGGGTAGGGCTCAGGGGACTCGATGATCTTTGGGAAGATGTAGAACTTCCGGCTGAAGAAGTAACACTTTGACTGGAGACAGTCGTTCTTTTAACACTAGATCTAGACGACATGTTGCAAGTTTATAAAACAACAAACTAAAAGTCACGATAATCACGTAAAATTTGTTAACCAAACACACTAGCACAGAGACACGACACACACCCACCAGAAGCGTCACCTCATCAAAAACCAAACCAAACCAATTCAATTACCAAACCAACCACTCTCACGAGTCTCCTGTTCTCCTCCTCCCTCAGTCCAGTCTCCAGTCTCAGTCCACACTCCATCCATCCGCAAGGTCCGCAAGCACAACGCAGTCCAGTAGTCCAGTCCGTTCCCAAGCAAGGCGAGGCTCAAACTCAATCTCGCTCGATTTGAATCGAATGATGATGTCATGATCTAATCTAATCTAACGCCAACGTCCGCTCGACGCTCCGTCCAAGATGGTATTTACTCAGGGGAGGTATAGAAGAGGCTACGATGACAGCTGAGGGCTTCTTATTAGCTGAGGGAACGCCATTACCGTAAAAAAACTTTCGATAGCTATCGGCCTCGGGGGTCTAATGGTTAGCGTGCCGGTCTGATATACTGTAGGTCCCGGGTTCGAATCCCGCTGGTAGCATTAACTTTTTGTCCAAGATTTTTTTTATTATCAGCAAGTTTGGTTGGTTTGGTTTGGTTATTACAGTTTAATTTTATAATTAAGTCACTATAAAATTGTAATTGAGCTATTTCTAGTTTTATTTAATAAACAGAATTATTTTTCCGACTACTAAACTCTTGTTATATTATTTCTTTATCAGCAAGTTTGGTTAGTTCGGTTAGGTTATGATAGTTTAATTTTATAATTAAAAAATAGTAAAATTGAATTTGAGGCATTTATAATTTTATTTTATGAGCAGAACTATTTTTGCGATTAGTAAACCTTCATTGCCAAAGTGCTCTCTACTACAGCGCTGTTCACGGAGGAATTTTGTACTAAATGCCTCATTTGTACCTCCCCTAAGTCAGACCCGTCCAAGATGGTCCAAGACCGCATCGCCACAGTAATATATCAGACTTTTTTTTGGAACTGCAACTGCTACACTTGCGTTGTCGCTCTGTGGAACAGGTTGGAATCCAACCGTTGGATGTAACCATTCCAGATAAAATAGTCCTGCCTAAAACTTTTTTAACCTTTGCTACTGTGCATTTCTCACTTGCGAAACAAACAATACCATTTTGGCTAATTTGTTGGCAATTTCGGATATTATTTTAACTGAACATATCTAGCCTCATTTTAGCGAATTTCCCTATAGGGAAGTAGCTATTACCGTAGGTGGCACGGTAAGACCTAGACCCGAGACCGATTTACTTTTTCATTTTGATGTCCCCAGAGGCCAAAAACGCCATTCGTTCAAATTTCTATATATATATATATATAGATTTATATATATATATATATATACGTCCGTGAACACGATAACTTGAGTAATTTTTGTCCAATTTTGATGAAATTTGGTTTAAAGGTGTAAAGCGGGATAAACTTGAATGAGTTCGCGAACCAGCATGATCGGACCATGGGAACGGAGCTTTACGGGGGGTTTTATGGGATAAAAATTGGGTTTTCTCACTTTTGACCCTCAAAACACAAAATTTCCCAATTTCTCTTTAGACCTTTTTAAAGAGCTTAAAAAACACAAATAATTTAGAATATAAAAGTATTTTTGTTTGGTTATTAGGCCCTAGTAACGGAAAAAAAAAATTAAATTTAAAATTCCCATGTTATTCTTATGGAGAATATTGTCAAATGTTGTAGTTTGCTTGTTTATGGATATATTTTGATCAAACTTGGCAAATTTATTTATTTTGTACTAAGCTATCAATATTTTACTAAAAAACACACTTTATTAGTTTCCTTGTAGCAGCAAACCTAGGTAAACTCGTTAAACCTAATGCTTATTAAAATATATATTTAATTGAAAATCAATTCAGTCAAATATAACTAGTCCAGTCAAGGAATGAGGTGTAGAGTGCGTGAGCAGGTAACTAAGCGATTCCTTCAGAAACTTGTTCAGGGGGCTTAGGGTGTTAACATACCAAAATTCCTGACTCCTAGGTGGTGAGCCAGGGGGTGGAGAGGGGAAAAAGGGGGGGGAGAAAGGTACGCATTTTGGGTTTTTTGATTATATCTCGAAAACTATCAACTTTTTGTATACTATAGTAAATTATAAAATTGAAGAAGATTAAATTTTCTACAAGAAAAGTATATAATGTGTTTATTTTGGTTCAACAGATTACGAGTTATAACTTATTTAATTGATATCTTATTAAAATACTCCTTCCATAAGAAATACATGTAAATTAGTATGCGAAATGGGGCAAATCCTATCCGCCCAAAGGAAATATAACTGATATTCTGGAAATATTGACAAAATTTCCAGTAACTTGACACTTTAATCATGAAATTTTGTCAAAAGTTAAAGCGAGGGTGAGCGTTTAAAAATGGGATGATTTAAGTTTTCTTTTATATATTTCCAATAAAAAAAACACCAAAACTCAAAATTTTGTTACCTCGCCCTCGCCTTAATTTTGGATCAATTTTAATAGTGTTATATAGTCAATGCCACGACCAGTTCGACTGAGTTCGACTCGACCCGTTCGCTGTTCGACCAAGAACAAGGACCAAGGACCACCAAAAAACTCATCTCAACAACTCAACCCTCTCGATCGACGATCACTCGATCCTCGATCTCAACCCAACCCGCGCCCCGACCATTTTTTTATGCTTCCTCCTGACGTTTACGTTTTAGTTTTTATTAAAATAATAAATAATAATAATTTAACATTTCTGACTCTGAGGGAAGGTAGGTAACTTAGCAAAAGCACAGCGGGTGACAGAATCCTACGTAATTAGAAGGTAAAATAATTTACACTTTTTTTAATTTTGAATTCCACAAGTTAACCTTTCTTACTTAGGCTAGCCTATTTATTTATTATTATGACGGCAAACACAATTTTTAGGCTGCACTTTAGTTTACGTCCTACACTCATTCGAAAGAAAACTATCGATATATAGATTATTCGATAATAGATTAAATTTCATTCGGTAGTTAGGTTAGGTTAACCTAACCAGAACCAACTTAACCAAACTTGATTCCATTTTTTTTACTATCAGCAAGTTTGGTTGGTTAGTTTAGGTTATGATAGTTTAATTTTATAATAGATATTTTTTAAATATCGATTATTAATCAATATTTCCCAATTCTATAGTTTCAATCGATATTAGCATAGCCCAGTTAAGAAACTGTACCCTATTCCCCCTCACTTTCCCTTCTTTTATACAATTCCGAACACGGCTTACGACTCTTCAGATATTTGATTAGCCAAACTATCAGTAACTTATAGTCCTTGCCACCCTAACTTTAGGGTGGCGATGACTAATCAGTATCATCATCCAAATTGTTATGTAGGCCTAACAATAAAGCAGCTGCCAATCTTCTACATTAACTTATCTCCTGTGAACTCAAAACTCTGCACAACACACCACAACGATGCATAATCCTACACAGTCTTGGAAACCAATCGAAAGGAATGCGGCAGCGGTCTACCAACAACTAGGCCGCAGGGTATCTAAGTTGTTACATTTAAGCCTTTGTTATTTCTTATCTCTCTCATTCTATTGTTGTCTTACTCTGCAACTTTTTTTCAGAGATCAAGAATGTCTGCCATTGGGAAATTTCTAACGTATATCGTATTAGCTACAATTTTGGGGTTTATAGCTTTGGACATCAATGAACATGGCAGTTTTTCAGGCAAGTTTGATTTGTACACATTTGGTATGAGTGGACCCCAAACAATTTCAAAACTTGACTTTATTTTAACTTTTCATCACAACAGGTTGCACATAATTTTTGTGGTCTAGCAGTTAACACATTTCATGCGGCACGTCAAATGGCGGGCGTATCCCCAGTGCGGCGCAGCCCTCAGCGTCGAACAAGCCCGATTGCCGCGTGTAATTGGCTTTCCAATTTTGGTCTGACGAATTGCAAATAACGTGCGGTGATGTCCTGCTTTACAACGAGAGTTGACATAGTTCGCTAAACACCCACAGATAGCAGCACTGCTTGGAACGTAGCCGGTCCCATTGGAATTGTATTGCCAAATGGAGGGAAAAAGACGGGACACAAAGTAGATTTTTGAGATTGCCAGACGGGGATTTTACGGGGAAATTTACTACCAACCTAAGAAACAATTTACAAATTTACAAAGTTTAGTCTAAGAAACACATTTAAATACATAAAAAAGTCCAAACACGACTAAACACAAGCGCAAACGAACATAAAGGCTAGCGCAAACTTAAAAATCCGCAAAAAACCGGAGCGCGCCCGAACTAAGGAGCGGCGGTAAAAACAGATTTCTATTGTATTTACAGACCATGCTCAGCAAGTAGTAAGGTTTTCCGTCAAACACTAGACTCATACTGGCTGCTTTTGTTTAACAAGGTTGGATGGCTCGGATCCGGCGCATGCGCAGGACGCTACGCGTGTCCCGAATCCGAGCCACCCGCAGCGAATGTGTTAAGTGAGTTGGTGGCCAGTCGGTAAAACCACAGACTTAGGACTATAAATTAATTAGGTATCTACCAAACTTATTTTAAGTTAATAGGCTTAACTTGTACTAGTTGATGCAACCTTTAAATTAATAAGATTATATTCTTATCCTAGCATCAATAGTTTTACGCCTACACTGAATATCTAAAGTTTTTTTATTGTATGCTATTTACAATGTTAAAATATTTCGGGATTGTATGTTATTATTTACAACGCTAAAATCATTAACAAAATCTGTAGGCCTACCTACTAAAAGCAACACGCAACACTTTGGGAAATATTTTTATTTACAATCACAAAAATCAAAACAAGTTAGTTTTCATTATACAGTATAAATAATAACCACATTATAAAGCTCAACGATTAAATTCTTACTAGTTGCCAATGTTTCCGCAACGGTTGACTTCGAGCATGAGTTTGATCATTAAGTTTTTTCAAGCCCCACGCAAAAAATTACAACCTGTAACTTAATTATCGACAACGTTTCTGTCAGAACAATTAATTTTTACAAACGGCGTTCAGCGGATCTGTTGCAACAAAACTGAAAATCTTTATTTTAATAACAGGGAGTTTGCTAAAACAGGCTAGTCTGACGACAGTTAACGCATGGCAACCCAATTATTCATCCTGTTATGTTATATAACTTAGGTACATCTCTAGCTTACAGTATAGTAGTTTATGCAACGATTGCGTTATGTTAGTCTTTAATACATGAGTAGAAAATTTAAGGCACGAGCCTTGGCAAGTACCTTAAAAACTTCTACTCATGTAGTAAAGACTATTAACGCGAGTTGCGTACATAATATGTTCCTTTTTTCAGGGAATAGTTTCTGCTAGTAGCATTCTTACCATAAATGCTGTATCAGGTAAAATTACGGAAATATTGTATATTTGTTTGGACAACTGGATAATATGGTGAAACAATTAGTTGCTGGTAACTTATGTAGTTTCATACTTTTGATTTTGGTGGCAAAAGATTAGCACAAAAAGTTTGTGCTCTCAATTCCATCTCGTCAACTTTACGTTCACTAACTGACATTTTTAAATCAGATGAATCTAACTTCCTTTAACTTCCACCAACTTAGGGTAAGAATACGCGAGTATCAACAGGAACAAGTCGGATCAACAATTAAAATTGTCAACTGATCAGCTGATAAGTTGACGCTCGAAGCATTACAATTTTACTGCTTTTCTCTGAATCCTTGAACCTCATTGGTCCGTTACCTGTGTTGTTATGAGAAAAACTATGCTGTTATGAAATTAAACTATGCTGTTATGAAAGTAAACAGATGTTAAGTGAAACTTTTAAATTCTAAGAACTGAACTGAAATGGCTACTTTAATAAACGGTCGTTGGTAAATATTTTAAGCACATTACATTTTTTTGTTTTGAAATATTTAAACTCCTTTAAGTAGGCCTATATAAAACCAATCCTTCCAAACATCCATCCTCAATGTTGGTCTTTAATAACATTACTAGCTGTTGTACCCGTGCTTTGCAATGGGAAGGACACTGAAGCGAAAAAATTTGATCTTGAATTCTGTTGTATAAAATAGTTAGGCTACACATTCCCCTTTTGTTTCAGGAACATAACTCAATTGAAACTCTTAGTTTGACAAATATCTTTCTTTAAGGCTATGCTAACTTATAGGACTACCTAGTACGAATTATATGAGGCGCTGATGCATTTGAAATAATGTACCCACACGATTTAATTTTCAAATGATAAGCTTTCCTAAACATTTATTTCGTTCATAAACGTACATATAAAGTAAATAAGGAACGATAATCGCACAACATAAAGCACTGTAGTAAAGAAAAAAAAACAGTTTATATTGATTTCACTTATAATTGATACGTTTTACCGTAGCTAATATAATGAGCTTTTTTCAAAGTTCAATCTTTACCTGCAGATCATAGTGTAGGCCTATATATTACAATAATAAGAAAAAATAAACTAATAGAAAACTTGTATTACCTTTTGATGGAAAGCCTACCACTATTATTGTTAATCAGGGCACAAATTTCACCAATTTAAATATAATTCAACAACAAATACATAACAGTAATTATTTTAACTCGTTCCATAGTTCAAAACGTGTATGTATTTGCATTAAATTACATCATTATTTAAAACATCAAGTAAAGAAACATAGTTACGTTACAGATTTTAGAATGTGAAAAAAAAACTCCATTTTAGCTAATTTCTTCTTTTTTTTTGACATTGTATTAACTTAAGCGTACAATATAATATATTTTGACAGGTCTATTTCGAGGAATGACAATTTAGCAGTAAAATGTAATTAATGTTGAAATACTTTAATGATAATGTTTTATAAATAATGCCCTCAATAAAAAAAAAAAAAATTAGTTTGGAATCTCCACCCTATGACTAATTTTTGACTGCTTTAACACAGTTATTTTAATTTTAACAGCTTCCAAGACCCATAGATTCCTGAAAGATTCGGGGGCACTTCATTTTGGAGAAGTTGCTTGGAAGACTTTTAGAACCTACTCCCAGCAAGGCTACAGGTAAAATATAAGATGACATTTAGTATTTCAAATTTTGTTTAAATGAACGAATCCTAATCTAGTTATCCTATGTCTTAAGGCACAAACAGAAAATTTACACAGAAAATTTATAAATACCGTAGGTATATTATATATCAAATAAGTAAAAAGAAAAAAGTATTAAAGTAAATTTGTTGATGCTGTTTATGAAATCCTCCATCTCTGATTGGTATTAGAGACTCAGTAAATATTGATGCGCCAATCAACACTCGGACCTGAGTTAACGATTCACCTTTTGCCCCTTTACGTTTCTGAACAACGATAATCACTTAACACGTTCGCTACCAATGCCACATATTTGCGACGCTGTGGTCCTTGCCATGGCTCCAGGTATACATTTTAATATTACACATAGACCAGGTGTCACTTGGTTAACAGTACACACAGACCGAAAATCAGTTTTGCCAACTATCATATGACGTCACTAATCATCATTATCCACAGACCAAGTGACGCACATATGCGACAGACATCCCTGTTGACCAATGCAGAGAATTCAGGGCCTTCAAATAGACCGTTACGAAGATATATAAGCTTTTTAATAACGGACACCGACGCAAATATGCAACGTCAGTCTAATTTAATGTGACTAGCTGTCACATATATGCGACGGCAGTCTATGGTAAGAAACCGGCCTCCGCATATGTCCGGACTGATCGATGAATGAAAAATGTAGTAATGCGGTAGCGAACGTGTTAAGCCAAAAACATAGAAGCCGTTCAGGAATGGTCTCATTCATTAATCAGTAGTTGGCTTTGTACTTGAGTATTATACCGACCACACGACAATTTTAATTATAACCTAACCTAAGGGTGGTTAGGTTAGGTTAGGAAGATTTTGTTATTTAAACTAATTAAAACCCTATTTGGCATTTGGAAATGGATTTATCCGTGTGGTCGGTATAATATGTAGGATATGTACCTTTGGCTTTCATCTCAAAAAGGTTTAAATATTTTTACAATCATTTGCAAGGTAAGAAAGCAAAAATCTATAAAGACGTGTTTGTTACCTAACAGATGGTGCCAGAGCAATGTTCCTGGGTATGCAGCCAAGGCTCGTGACACCACCGCACCTTTTCTACATGCAGGGTTTGCGTGGCTCAGCTTCGTAGTACAACTGTTACTGGTCAACGTCACGCTCATATATGAATTCATTTTGTCCAAGAAACCTCTGGTGGAACAATGGGTAAGCTTTGTTAATAATAATAAATAGTGTCAGCGATTATTGCCACATTGATTAAATTTGATGGTTTATAAACTGTACGGAATACAATGATGTCACAAAAAATATTAGTGATCCTGCAGTAGAGTCTCGATCACTGACCTAAACCGGCTGCGGCAAGGTTATCCAAGCAAAAAGGTTGGGTAACACGGAAAATGAAAACGAAAAGGATGTGTTGACGATTGTGCCACGAGGGTTGGACATGTTGACAATTGTGTCGTGATCGCAGTAGATGTTCATGATGATGGACCAGAAAGGTCAGATAACCAAAGATCTGTGCGTTACAGAAGTTAAATTTGTCATAGGCCTAATTACCATAAAAAAAAAACTCTTTCATTGAATTAATCGGTTGTTCTGTTCTACTAGCCCACCCTGAATTGTACCCACTGACACTTTGTATCAGTTCATTTTCTGTTTCATTCCTTCAAGTTTTTTGGACTGTATTTTTTATTTTTCGTCCAATGTAGGAGTGTTTGTTGGCAAATTGCATTGTGTAGTGGACCGGAAGCTGAAGCCTGTAGCTGTTCTGGTGTTAGCAGAGGAAGTTATGATTTCTGGGGAAGTCCAAGTTACGCGTGTACAAGACAACTGAGATATAGAAGGCTTAACCGTCAAAAGCTTCCCTGCAGTTGTCACAAGGGACAATGTTGGAGAGTGCAAGGAGTAAGGGGCCATACATATGTTATGTATGTTATGTAACACACTTTTTTGTAATTTTAAACCCCTTCCCTCCCATATGTAACGCTTAAACAAACCCCCCCCCCCTTGCATTACGTAACTTGATCTTAGTAGACTTTAATAACAGGTTTAGCATAATTTTACTGGTGGAATATGGATTGAAATAAATCATTAAACTTATAATAACTTTTGTTTGATAACCTATTTATAATCAAAACAAAATTGATTCAAACAAACAAGATTGTTATCCTACTAATAATAATAAAACAACAAAATAAATCATCCCAATTAAAACACAACTAATTTAATTTATAACTAACAAAAAAGGTACTAACTAGCTGCATTAACTAGCATTAAAGCTTACTAGCTGGCCCGACAGACGTCGTCCTGTCCTAATGTGGTTTTATGTCAAATGCTTATTCATTTTCAATATCCTTGTTGAAGTTCGTTCGCTACGTTCTCTCACCTTTTGGTTGCAAATTAGCTGTTGTCATAAATAAAAAAAAAAATAATCGTGCTGCACCCTGTTGGTAAACTTATTAACTTTTTAATGCTATTAAACATCACAGAATCAAATTGCTTAGTTGAACCAGCTGTTAAGATTCTTTAATTCCATTTAAATATGAGTACTCATAAGGTTAACGTGGGAAACTCCAGAGCCACTGGGGCGGAGCCCTTTTGACGGATCTGCACCAAACTTCACACAAACCATCCTTGAATAATGCTTAATAATGCCTGAAAGTTTCATTACAATCTGTCGAGCGGTTTCGGAGTCCATAAAGGACAAACAAACAAACATACATTGGATTTTATATATATAGATATAACATAACATTTAAGTAACAACTACGTAAATGACAAACAGCTGTTTGGTAACAAATTTTGCCACAGAAAATATATTTATGAGATTATAAAATGTAAAATTTCCAAGAGAACTTCCTTTTAAGCTAAAGTTTAAAAGAATAATATGGATATAAACATCAATTTGATTATTTTTGTATTTCTAAAGCTAATTGTGTGCGTTACGTAACGTTGAGCCAACCCCTCCCCCCCTCCACCATATAACACAGTGTAATGCTATGTCATACCCCATCCCCTCCAGAACAAAAGTGTGTTACCTTTACGTAATATGTGTATGGCTCGTAAGACCGCTCTTTTACAATATAAAATTAAATTAAATTTACTGTTTCATGGTTAGAATGGTATTCCCTTATCTGACCTAATCCCCTCTCTTTAAGGCCGGTTTACCTGGGATACCACATATAGACAAACTCCTAAAATGACCATTACAACATTTTATTGGCCTGGTAAACACTTCATTTCATTAGAAATTAAGCATTATCAGAATTTGGTTTGCATTATCTAATTATTATCATTATCTAAATGGACCTAACAATATCAATCTTTTGACAAACTGAGCTCAGGATTAGTGACTTCTAATTAACTGATAAGTGATAAGATTTATTAAAGTTGAATCACTTTATAACTGAACTGTTCAACATATATTTACTTTCTCAATAAACTACAGTACCGGTACTTTAAAATTGCCTTGTTGATTTCAATTTTACAAAAGTCAAGTTTGATTAATAGATAAGTAAATGTGGAAGATTCCGAGCTCACTCATGAAACACAGGATACTAAACTTAATTGTCGTTAACTGAGTCGAGAATTTTATTTTGAGTCCTAATGGACTTTAGTTCACATAAGCCTTCTTTACCAACAAACTCTTTCATGTGTAACTTTTCAAGTTTAAACTGTCCAAGTCAAATCTAAGTAAGTAATTTCCAGAACACGGTTTCTGCTACACAATTTTAAACCTAGTGGGAGACCTCGTACTATTCGAACGCCGGAAAACATTGAAATGGTTCGCGCGAGTGTGCTGCATGTCCTAAACGTCAAGCGTCTTAAGTCATCCATTTGCTGAACATTGCATTTAAATTTAAATTTGCATAGGTTTAATGTTGAGTACAAAGGCCGTTTTCAGGACATTGCTTACCCATCTTTGGGTAGTTTTTTTTTTAAGTTTGGGGTTATTGGCACCATTACGGCCAACATTAACCCTTTGAGTGCCAACTTTAAAACGAGCCAAAAGTGCCGACGTCCGGCCGACCGGACGTTTTTAGAACGAGCCAAAAGTGTCAACGTCCGGCTGACCGGACGTTTCGTAATGATCGAACAGTTGTCATAACAACCGAATGGATACTCGGATTCTTTTAACCCATATATTAACATTGAGTCGAAAGTTACTAGATGCGATCCATCAATTTTCGTTGGTCGAAATATCGAAAATTCGATTTTTACGAAATTTTAACCTAAAAATCGCCAGATCGCGCTCGGCATTTTTAGCGCGACCTTCGGGAAAAATCATCGGCATTTTTTGAGCGTTACTTTTATTTCTCGCCTGGCACTCTAAGGGTTAAAGTGAACACAAAACTGACGTTGAGTAGGAATGATAAACACATCGTTTGAAAAAAGTCTCCATCACAAAGGCACGATGTTGAGGTAACCATTGATGATCCATAGTAACGATTCACCAAATGGCATCAAATAAACAGTCATTTACCACAAAAACGAACCCTCCAGCTTTTATAACAACTGAGTAATAACATTTTAAAATTGTCCCTGTTTTTTGGCTCACCCTTTACATTTACTGAGTTATATGGTGTTTAGTATTACTCTTTCTTTTTTAAACGCACTCGGTCCTTTAATGCTATTTTGAGCATATTGATTTTGCTTAGCCCAAGTAAATACATTAGATAGACAAAATATTTTCCAAAATTATTTTTTGACTATGTCAATCTAAAAACTGCCAGAGTGAATGCTCCAGTAATAGTCCTATCCCTGCTCTACCTGTAAAATCACTGACATTCCAGATGGTCATGAATTATTCTATCTAGACATTATCTAGGCTATATGTCTGAAAAACCAACTAAGTTTGTTTGTTTGTTGTTGTTGTTTGTAAGTATGTTTTCCCAACTTTTATACCGTATTGCGAATGTTTGAACTTATTCACCAAGGACATACTAAATCATCTGGACCACAGGATGTTTTTATGCTTATTCGTAAAAGTATTTTTTAACTTTCTTTGTAATAATTCAAGTGTGATGATAGCTATTCGTTGTGATGTAGACTAATTTTGTTTTGAGGTGAACTGTGATGTGGACATGGCCGCAGCTACACATTTTTCTAGGTGGTTTAAGTTTTAAATTTGCTGCCCTGTCACCACACAACTGTGTGGTGATTTTTTCTAAATGCCAATGGCATTTTACTGTGAGTCTTTAACACTTGGCAAACAAACTTTTTTTAAGAAAATGGGCCAAGGGTTTAATGATACTTTTATGTTATATTATATTATTAAAAATGTAATAGCTTTAGAAATTGGTATATTATTATGTAATTCTTAAACTTGTAAGCACCAGTAAAATTTATATAAGAACTAATAAAACAAATTATTTAATATTTGGTTATTAAATTACCGTGAACATACAGCTCTCAATACATAAAGTACTTCATAGCAATAAGTTTGAATAATTAATTAAATTTGATTTTTTCTTGATTTTTAGCAGCAAATGACTTGATTATGTCAGAAATGAAATTGTTGTCGCTCTTACATGTTTAATTGAGATGATACTTGCTGATAATATCTGAGTCTTTGATTGTCTTGTCTATTGATCAGTGGCTGATCCAGCCAGGAGTCGCAGGGAGAAAAGAAATGCAAAAGAATTGCCTGCGATCGCAGCAAAATTGTGAACACCTCCCGCTAATACGGGGACATGATTAACGTCACACGTAATCGCAGAAAAATCACCAACGTCTTTTGCCATCACAGGGAAATTGTTATCATCACCCGGAATCCTAGAAAAATCGTTAAGATCTCCCGCTATCACCGGGACATGATTATTGTCACCCGCCATCGTAGAAAAAACGTCAACGACTTTCGCCATCACGAGAACATAGTTATCATCAACCGTAAATAACGTTAACATCTCCCGTTATCACGTAGACATCGTTATCGTTACTGATGAGAGTGACAATTCACTCATTTTCTGTATAAAACAATTTGTTGTTTAAAAAAATGTGTTTTTATAAAAAAACGCTGCAGAACTAGGCCGTGGCCTAGGAGTAGTAAGTCAACCGATATCGCCACAAAAAACAAAATTCGTCATAACCAACGACCACGGCAACATTATTAAAATTTAACCGATAAACAAAAAATGAAATAATATGTCTTATTATCATATTATAGTTGATATTATCTTGGGTAAAAATAGAAACAAAGAAAACAGTAAACTGACAAAAAAATAAAGCCAATTAAATTTGAACCCTCATGAAGTTTGCTTTCTGTTTGGTCAATATATGGAAAAATGTAAGAGTGACGTGCCCCTTCCTCAAAAAATTCTTGAATCCCCCCCCCCGCTAATGATCAAAAGCAATTTATGAAAAATATATAAAAAAATATAGGTGTCAACAAGGACTGGAGGGTAGAATATAGTCACTTATGACTAAACAAAATAGTAGTCAACTAGTAGGTACAACCTGAAATGCTGTAAAATTTTAGAGTTTAAGAGTTATTACAATTTTTGTATCCCCCTCCCAAAAACCCATTAATTACATCCGCCACTTACCTATTAGGCTCATTATAATTGGTTTTCTCTTTTAAAAGTAGTTGGATGTTCAATTTGAATGTCAGGCTATTTAATAAATAAATTAACAAACTTACCACAATCCAACAGTTTTTCCAAAGGGCTCAATGTCACTGAACTTGTCACTCTTATGTTCCATCTGATAAACCCAATATTACAAGAGTAGTAGTTGAATAAAAATAAGTATCCATGGCAATTACTTGAACAGTCTTATTAAGTCAAGTTTTTAAAATCCAATCATGGATTTTCTGTCTGAACTGATAATTCGCACAGCCATAAACACTAAAGCTTTTTTTAGATTTTATGCATTTGAGGTCATACCTATACTTCTTGATTGTGCCGTGGCTTTGTATTTATTTGCTTAGAAACTTTTTGAGCTGTGTTTTGGTGTTAAATTTGAAGCTTTTTGAACCAAACTTTAGAAAGTGTGAGGAAGCAGAGTTTGAATTTTGATCAATTATCCAGGATGCTATACTTGATCGAATGTACTGTCAAATGGCAATAAAAAAAGGAAATTCAAAATTTGCCTACTTCGATGTTTGATCCTTAAAGAACACTGCCAGTTCAAGTATTCTTATGGCACACGTTCACTTAAAATGGATGCTACAGGAGCCACTGCTTGAATGCAATCACCAGCTTCTCATGACTGGACCCTAACTTCAAACGAGGCAGGTATATAAATACTGTATAGTCTTATCTTCTGTTGTAATGAGTTGACAGGTTGGCCTTCAGTCTTTGGTAAAATGTCCTGAATTTTGTATGGCACGCGCTTTGTTATACGGGGTAGTTCTAAGGATTGAGAGGTCGAGTTAGTGGTTTTAATTTAACACGTTCCACTGTACTATAATCCTATGTTCCTTTGTGTTTTGTCAGGGTCAGTGAGCTGGTCTAGTGGTAAGACACGGGACATTAGTCTCCGAGGTCTTGGGTTAGAATCCCACCAATCACTAATGGATCTTATCTAAGTAATAGTGGTGTGAACTTCTAAGCCGAGCCTGCAGTAATGTGAAAAACTATTCCAGAGAATAGTTCTATGTCAACAAAATGCTATGTTGACAGATAAACCAGTACGCCCCGGGCCTGATGGAGTCTGCATCTTATTGGTTCTGGCGAGGATTGGCGATCTTCGGCGATATTTTCATCTTGGTGTTCGAGTTTGTGCTGACCTACCTGTCATTGGCAGTAACATGGCTGATGGAAAACGTGTTTGTGTACGTAACAAATAAAAGAATGCATGTCATATCCTTTCAATAAAAACAATTTTAAGTTGCATGTTTTTTAAGCTCAATAAGGTATTTATTTATTTATTTATTAGTTTTCATGTTATCTTATGCTTCAATAGAAGGTGTATGGACCACTTAAAATCTGTTGTTCAATTCTTCTGTACAAAATGCCAATGGCATGGGCACTAAAAATAAACGGTATCAGCTAACTGACACATACCTACTCCTACTAGCTGTCACTAAATTTGAACATGCAATTACTTTTGAGAGGAAAACTTTAAAATAATTATTCTGGGTAACTGGGGTAGCTGAAACGAAGAACCAAAAAATAAGTGACAGCAAGTAACCGATGTAGTCAGTAACCAGGGCCACCCCGAGGGTAATAGACGTCCAGGGTGAGATTTTAATCTATTGTGTATTTTATGAATAAAACCAAGGTTATAGATTGTTCCCTTTTTAAATAGTCATTGTTATTGATTTTATGTTAATGATTTTCCTGTAAAATATTCGTTCACCAATAACGTTGTTAGCCTAGATAAATATCTAGCAAATAGTAATAAATATTTCACATTCCACGGTGCCTGAGGCTGGTCCTGTCTGTAACTGTGCTTTTTAATACTTTTTTTATGGTGAAAATCACAAAAATTGCATTTAAACTTATTGTTTTTTGGTTCAGGGCTATATTTTTGGAGCCTTTTTTGTGTAAATAAGATTTTTTGCAACCTATATTAAGGATTTCATGGAAAAATCACCATTAAAATAAAAGTTTCAACAAAATTAAAAAAAAAACCACAAAGCCAAATTTGATGATTTGTGTTGGATATGATAGTTGACAAAACTGGTTTCAATTTTGCTGCATCTCTGGCCTGTGATCTGCGTGTACTGTTAACCAAGTGACACCCAGTCTATTTGTGTAATCTTAAAATGTATACCTCGGGCCGTTGCAATTCAGTAGCGAACGTGTCAAGTGCGATATTTCAGAAAAAAAATTTGAAGTCAGGTGTGGGTTCGCCCTTTTACTGGGGAGCATTTCTTACTGTAAAATACCATTTACTAGCCGTTGAGTGGTTAAACCGTTAGACCTATTATAAATTTTACAAACCTAAATCAGTTCCTTGCAAAAGTGAAAATAATCAGCAAGAAATCTAACTAACGGAAAATGACCAAGCAACTTTATGAAGTCTTAACATCTAAAGAACAATTGTAGCTGCTTTGAATAGGTTGTATGAGTTAAGAACGTTGATAAGTCAGTAAGCAAGTTTTATCTTTATTTTTGACCTGGAAGCAAACTTTGAGCAAGAAATATGAAGATAAGAGGTGTCATTAGGGAGTAAACTGGTCTACTGGTAGGTTCAAAAGGTAGGTTAAAATCCTTGCCAATCACCAATTGATTTTTATCAAATGCCGCAACCCTTTAGGTCTCGCATGAAGTTAAGTGTAAAACACTTCCGGACTAAAGCCTACATCCTAGGATGTCCTAGGATTAAACAATTTTGTTTGGTGTTACAGTGGCTCACTCTCGCCTGAAAACTTACAAAAATACACAATGGATGCCCTCAACACAACATCACGACTTGCAGCTGAAACACTCTATTGGCTCACGGCACCGTCATAGAGATAACACTACGACCAAGAGTAACACAAGGACCAAGTCAATTAAAACTATCTATACAGGAGTTCATACATTTGAGATTAACACTGCGTGTCAAATAAGTTTTTTCCCTTTTGTTAATTAAGGTTGTAAAATAATAGGAAATATTGTCATTGCATACAAGGTTACAACACGTTTTCAAACAATTTAAAATTAAATAAAAACTTTTGCAGTTGATTCTTTATAATCCGATACTTATGGTTTTGGGAGGGTGTTGGTAAACCCTTACTAGTCCCAAAAAATACCAAAATCAACCATTAAACTGTAAAATTTACTTTTGGCATCTAATGTTCTATTCTACTTTTAGGAAAGATCAATTCACTACTTACTATTCAGTTGAATCAGTTTGGGCATTATTTTACAATAAATGTACAAATATTAATGTTTATTTAATAGATAGCACAATTTTGATTCATACTTAAGTTTATAGACCCCAGTCCACACCACAAATCAATCATAACAGTACAGACATTGGTTGATTTTATATAATTTCTCAATAATTTATCCCAGCATGGTGTGTCTGATTAATGAGTGCCAAGACTGCCAACCATGTAATTGTTTTGTAATTTTAAGAAATATATAACTAACTTATTTATTACCTAGTGTTTCCATCTCAAAATATCTTAAAATTAAGTGTTTTAATGTTTCATAAGTGTTGCCATCATAGACATGTCTAGGATTTAATGTTTAAGATGATTATTGTTGAGAAATGTTTGTAATTACATGGTAAACTGAATAAAATCAATGTGTATCTCTATGCTTGTGTAGATTAGGCTCAGTCACTACTGATACGTGCTTATAATTGTGTCATGAAAATGTGTCATCGTCAGGCAAATCTGTGATTTTAATTGGTCGGCCAAAGATACAAAACGGCATGGAATATTTGAGTTTCACAATTATCAGGGTGGACCAAAACCTAAATGTCAAATGTTTTAATCATAATGTTTATTTTACAGACTAGACCAAAAAACGTGTATTTACGTGACAGACTGTTATTATTTCCAAAACTATTTCCAGATTATAGGACTGGAACATGCTCCAGCTATATGGCAAAACCCCAACTAACCAAAATAAAGGAATTGAGCTAGTTTTCAATAACCTATTTCTTCAGTTAATCAAAGATTCGGATTTGAAGGCTATAACGGATAAAAGAAATTTGCAATGTAAATTGTTTGCCTTTTTGAATTACTTTCTTCTTAAAACCTACAACTTCATAGACAAAATCGGGCAAAACCTTGATATTTGATTCCATTATACCAAAAATACATACCATGCATACAACTCCTGTTGCCTTGTTAATTTTCTAGTTGATTTAAAATGTAATTTATGGTTTCAATTTAAAAAAGGGTGTGTGAGAGTGGTTTTACTGTGATTTAAAAATTGCGAATAATGAAATATGCACAAATTAGATTTAGTTAGTTCATTTATTTCTCCAAGATATACTTTCCTCAAGGAGAATTACGTACTTTCTCACAATTGTCTGCAATACGCATTTGAATAAAAGTATAAAATGTGTCAAACATTCCTTTGAACTTTTTTATTCCAAAGTGTATAACTTACCGATGCATTTATTCATGTGATTTTCATATTCAATTTCCTAAGCATAATTTCAATTTCTTTCATCAAATAACTGTAAGCTGTATGTTTTATTAATTTACTGTAGTTTTCAATATTCTTATTACATTGAATTGGTTAAAACTTGTTGGTAATGGGATGTTAGTGTCTATTTATTGTTTTAAATTAATTATGTTACAGTTATTTTTTTTTAGTATCTTTACACTCGTTACTTTTTGTTTTCACATAATTTATTATTTTACTTTCTCGCTTATTAGCTGTTTAGTCTCTCATTTGTCATAATTTATTTCTTTAGTACTACCCATATTATTAACTAATTAACTTTTATTTAGTTTGGTAAAAATCTCTACGTCCTGTAAGTTTATAAACTTGCTAATAATTTATTATAGTGTGTTGTGAAAATGAACCATTGGCTGTGAGTTGAAAATGTTGCATCCTAATCTATGGATTCATTTTTACTTTTTTTAACTAACTATGTATTGTTAAACTTCAAACAATTACAAATTATGAAATGAATTGAAACAGTTTTTTTCTTCACTCTGTATACCTCATTTCATCAAAATCTCATAGTTTTTACATGATTTACCATGCTAATAGATATACTGAATAATAGATATATGAATTTGAACGGAAGCCGTTTTTATAATCTGGGGACATCAAAATGAAAAAGAAAATTGTTGGTGGGTCCAGGTCTATCCAGTATCCACTTATGGAAATAGCTTATTCCCTGTGGGAAATTCGCAAAATGATCTGATTTTGATGGAACTTGGTACAAACAAGTAAACCTTTGTTTATTTGAGCAAGTTTGCAGACCAGCATAATCAGACTGTGGGAAAAGGGTTTTATGGGAGATTTTATGGTGTAGAAATTGACCCTCGAATCATGTAATTTCACAAGTCATTTTTTACAGGTAATGAAAACTGCCAACGATATCTAATAACGAAAGAAATTGAAAGTCACAAATTTTTAACAGTGAGCCTTATGGCTACTACTTTGGCAACAAAAATCTTAAACATCAACAAAAACAAAGAAATAAATATAACAGCTGATTATAAACAAACCTTAAAGAGGCTTTTAATTTATGACTCGAGGACATTGAGATGCTATCCTCACAACTGGGCACGGGTGCCACGGCCGAGGGGGCGCCACACCGTAGCTATTTGTAGTAACCTAAATATTAACATATACGAATGCAACTCAACTACTACTGGAGGGGAGGTGGCGCCGGGCCCACGTTTGCCCTGGGCACCGCCAACCCTAGGGACGGCCCTGCACTGTTGATTTAATTGGGTTGGAAAGCAGAGCAGCGTTCGGTCCTCCTGGTACTTTTTTTAAATAGGGAATAAATCTGAGATGTTTTAAGAAATATTAAGTGAAAATCCATTAAGGATGGAAATTTGCTTGGTCAACAGATTTGCTGCGGCGACGTATTTCTTACTGTGAAAGTTGATGTAACATGATGAAAGTTTATGATAGATTTGTCTTGGCAAAATCTTTTACAACCTACAGAAACCATTAATTTACATTAGCACCCTATGTTAGAGGCTTAATATTAAACTACTTTAATGTTTGTTATAAAACTAGCTACAACTTTAAAAAGAAAATGAAATTTCTGTCTAGTTATATCAAGGAAAAGCTAGTAGGAGCCCAGAATTATTCCACAGACAATACATACAAGGATGGGAATAAGACATACACATTTTTATTTATTACCCTCTTAGTATTTTCCACAAAATCATTCTGGAGTGGATGCATCAGCTGGAATGTTGTTGAGTTCCGAGTCCCAGTAATAGCTAGGAGGTCCCTTAGTGAAGCAGTACCTCATATTGAGAGGAGCTCCTTCGTCAACGTAATACATCATGTAGAACAGACACATCTCGTCATCATTGTTTCCCCTAGGAAATTCATTATAACAACTAAAATAACTACTAATTAATTTAATAATATTTGGGCAAGGCTTTTGAAACTGTAATGGATGTTGGTAATTTATTGTACGTACAACTCCCATTATACTGAATCCAAGTCATGAAGGTAATAGAATTATTTTAAATCAATTATTTAAGATGGGGACGCCACTATGTGCGTATTTTAACCCAAATATGAGTGAAGGATGAGTGTAGGATGAGTGGCGCGATCTTGTAGTCTTGTTAGTGACTAAGGTCGACATGTTCCTTAGACACAGCTGTTAATTAATAGCCCATACAGCTAATGGCAACTAAGGGACCTACAGTTTATAGTGGAATCCGAACCACATTTTTTCCTCGTAATTTACGAATTGGTCTAATTATCAGGATAGTACTGCGGATAGTTGTAAGTACTCACTAGTGCGGACGTTAATCCACACCAGGGAGCATCACATCCACAGTGCATGCCAATAAATATCCACAATTCGTGACCTCCTAGTAGCTGGATTACAGGACGACGCCACCCGTCCCAGTCTAATTGCAGCACTAGTTTAATTTATCTTTAAACAGTTAGTTGATTACTGTAAAAAACTTACCCAGCAACCGTAATGTTGTTCCTGTTACTGCGGTATGAGCATCTTGCTGCCTAGAATAAAAATTGCAAGAAAATTTAATAAAGAATGCTAAAATAAAATCTTGTTATTAATTGTTAAAGGGCTAAAAATATTTAAACTATCCTATTTTTCTAATATCTTTAACAATTTGCTCAAATATTTTTCTCTTAATTCTTACCAAGTTAAATTGTAAGCTGTTTTATCTGGGCTGTGTGTCAAGTTAACTTACATTGTATTCGTACAGGGCAATCGTTCACTCTACGACTCATTGTCTAGGTCACTTGACTGATACAGAACCCCCAGAAACATTTTAAGGAGTCGCACCTACTCAGGAAATGATTTTAAACAGTCAAACAGTGCAGGGACTGGGTGTGTGAATGAGCAATTGTGGCCGGCGCCCAAAGATAACATGAGTATCGTATTTGTCGCCGCGACCTAGAAACACTCCCAGACACATTTGTTTTTCTATCACAGCTAGTTGTGTGTTGCGAGTTGCTTTGTGTGACTGTCCTCGTTAGTTAGTTTCAAGTTACCTAGTTTTATTCTAGGTTTAGTGTGGCCTAAGATTTACTGCTGGCATAATTATTTTTATTTTAAACTATTTGTTTTAGGGTAATAGCAATCTTGTGGAGTCCCTTTCTAGATCGCTTGAATTTATAGTGTATGGTTTAGGGGTGTAAGGTAATCCAGTCGATACTACAGCTATCCACTCTGTGACTAAGGCTTGTTTTTGCGATTGCTTGTTGTCTGTAGAATCACTGCAGCCATAAATTATTTGAAATTTTATTACACATTCTTTATTAGGCTAGGGCCACACTAGGCGAGTAGATCACCTAGACTTTTTTATTGGCGACCTGGTTGCAGGTAGCCACACTTGAACGACTTATAGCTGTTGGGATTGCTTTTTAACGAGTGAGGAGGACCTGTTGCTATTTGTTGTATTCCTAATAAAGGAAGAAAAAATTCAGATTTGGAGTGCAGCGCTATTTTTCCCACCCTTACAACATTGCTCAGGGATGATGTAATTGCAAATTGTTTGAAGAAGTTTTGAGTGTTCATTCCATGTTTGGTGATCTCCTGACAGAAGACATCTTTGTGATTTCTATTGCACCAGAAGATATTTAATCCTTTCGGATTAGACAAAGTTTTCATAGCGGCATATGCCCCCCTACTTTGTTGACGAAAATGTCAAAAATATCTGTACAGCAAACCTTTCAACTACACAGCACCACTGTCAAACCCAAACTGAACGATATTACGTCACAAACTGTCCACGCCATTGTTGTACAGTAGAACCTTGATACCAAGACGAGAGTCCAAGACCAAGACCAAGACGAGTATTTTATCCTGTGAGAATAGGGATTATAAAATAAGACTTGTTATCAAGGTTGACGTCTTATCGAGGTTTGCAATAACAAGTGATTAGGGGAAATATAATTTCAAGGGGATTTGAAAATGACCCTTATTATCAACGGTAACTTGTTATTGAGGTTTTACTGTAGTTGTTTTATGATTGGTAATGTAAAATGATAGAGGTACTTGTAATGGAATTTTAAAATAACCATTAGGATACGATGTATATGTCAACTCAACCAAATTTATAATAATTGTGTCAAGAATCAGTCAAATGTACGAGTATTATGTAACATTTTACAAACACATAATACAGGGAGCGGCAAAATGGTCTGACGGTTTTCTTTACCGCCCTGTCAAGTGAGTTATGGTGGAGGGTGGTGGGAATAAAGGCGTTCCAAAGCCTATGTGCGGACATTTTCAATAGCCATAGAGCTGTGGACAGCTGAGCACCATGCATTTGTAGTGGAAGTGTTCTTTAAAAGTGGCAATTTCTCTGTTACTGTTCAGCAGCAGTTCTGTAGACGTTTCTATGTGGGCCCAAGAGGAAAAGTTCCATCTCAGAACACCATTTTGCTGTAGGTGGGTAACTTCAGAGCTACGAGCTCAGCATAAGTCCACAGGCTCTCCTATTTTATCAAGGTCAGCCCGGATGCCAGAGAAATTTGAGTGAGAGAAGCTGTGAAAGCTAGTCCTCAGCGGCCTGTACGTAAATAAGCTGCAGCTCTGCACATGTCTGGCCGCTCGGTAGAGGAGTACTACGATACAACCTGCACTTTCATTAATAAAAAATGGCAATCGAGCAAAAGTTGGAGCCCAGTGGTTATGCAAAGCGCATCTCATTTTGAGAAAAAGTTATTGTTTTAGACCTACTTACATGTGACAAAATTGTCATTATGAGTAACGAATCTCACTTTCAACCACACCTCACAGTCTTCCTCACTCTCTTGACCTTCTCTGGCATCCGGGATGACCTTAGATAGCCTGTTGATTTTAGTTTCAACGCTGAACTAGTAGCTCTAAAGTTACCCACTCACAGCAAAATGGTGTCAAATTACTGTATTAAAAAAATACATGTATTATATCATGTAATAAACGATACCATTATCAAAATGGTGTATCAAGTTGGGACTTTTTTTCTTTGACCCACATTGAAATGGCTGCTGAACAGCTACTTGCCACTTTTAAAAACACTTCCACTACAAATACATGGTGTGCTCAGCCATCCACAGCTCCATGGCTAGGCCTACTAAAAATGTTCGCATGTTGGCTTTGGAACACCCCTATTCCCACCACCCTCCGCCACTAACACGCTCGACAGGGTGGCAAAGAAAACCGTCAAATCATTTTGCTGCTCCTTGTATAATGTAATGTCACCACATAATGTTGTAAAGTATGGTCTAACTCACCACAGTATCCCCATTAGACACAGAAACATTGTTGTTTACAGGATAGAACATGTGAGGCTTTTGTGGATCTTTCTTGCCAATCAATGTCCAGTGGTGTTTTCCTTTATCATCTGTTTTCACCAAATATCCTCTCACTACAGTTCCTACATGAACAAAAAATACATAAAAAATTAATTCATTATTACTACGGTAGATCCCCTTCACCGACCTCACATTACCCGATAATTGGATTTTCCGCCTTCGCTCCTTTTGAGTTATCCAACCTAGGTCCAATCCCGTTAGGGTCAGTTAAGATGGTGTCTACTAAATCACACCTGTAAAGTATGATAGTACGACAAAACATTTCCCATGGTTATCAATAAAAAAAGTTTAGCATCTATAGAATCGTATCCCGCCTTAAAGTTCTAGAATCCAAAACATTGTGAAAACTAGTGGTTACTAATCCTATAAGAAAAAGGTTGTAATAATTCTTCAAATAGGCCTACTATAAAAGTAGCATCACCAAAAATTATTTTCAAACAAAGAAATTACAAAGCATCTTAGTTAAAACAATCCTTTATACCTTTGTCATGCTTATGGATCAGCTGAGGACAGTTTTATACTCCTTTTATATTGCAGAGTTCATTTTGATGCTACTATTTAGCTTATACGTCATGCTAATAGATAATAGATTAAATATAATTAAGATAAAAAGATAAAATGGGAAGAATCACGAGATACCAGGATTGAGACCTCTAGCCAGGATCGTTTATTTAATGCCCAATGGTCAGGAACAGCTGGGTCCAGTTTCTGACCATCAAAAAGCTACTGACTTTTCTCAGGATCGAACCGGCAACCTCTTGGTTTTAAGGCGAGCACTATAACCACTCTGCAATTGAATGAGAAGTTTATTTGAAGTATCCTAATTCGATGACTGTATAATACGAATTATTGCTTTAAAAAAAGTGAACCCTAAATCATCACATCAATATTCAACAAATTTTACAACATTTTGTATTTATTTATTTTCTCTCAACGACTACACCATTTTAAATGGATGTCAACTTTCAATGCAAACATTACAGTATTACTACAAATGTACCAAGTCTGTGTGTGTGGACGCGGAAGGCAAACGGATGAAACGTCTTATTCTCCTTGATCTCACAGGCGGACTCCCACCTTGCAGTGGAGTGGGGATGGACCTCCCCCCCTGCTCCCATAGCAAACTGACCTGCCAGCTTCCTCATCCTGTAAGATAACTCTACAAATCATCAAATATCCTTTTTTTCTTGGGATGCATTTTAGTGATCCATGCTATTTAAGAAATTATAGACCATATTTTCAATCACAATTATTTGCACTGTAGAACGAAATCTTTTCACAGTGTTTCAGGATATGGAATTAGTATCCTGTCCTTGGGGAGAAAGCATTTAAAATATACTTTCTTTAATACTTTACTTTCTTATTAACATAGCTACCTTTAAACAATTGCATAATGTAATCCTTGATTGCTATGGTGGCAATTTTGGTTCTTAGGTCAAACCATTTCAGGCTTTTAAGGAGTCAATATCAATCACTTGTTTCAGTTATACATCGAATCATCATGTATCAAACTTATTATATACCGATAGTTACCAGTGGTGGAGCTAGAAGTTTGGAATATAACAGAGAGGGAATGGAGTGGGTTCATGCGGGGAAATGAAGTTTGTAAGAGGTATTAAAGGGAAAACAAGATTGGATAGAATTAGAAATGAAGCGTTGATAAGAGGAATAGTTGAAGAAAGTTTGAGAGAACGAGTAGAGAAATCGAGATTGAGATGGTTTGGCCAATTAAGAAGGAAAATGATAGAATCCCCAGAAAAATGAGTGAGCTTCGCATGAACGGAAGAAGACCAAGAGGAAGACCTAAACTATGGTGGATTGACGAGGTGAGACGAGATGTGGAAGCAATAAGAGGAGTGCAGTGGCAGTATATGGAGGAAGAGGAATTGGGAAGGGACAGAAAAAGAAAGAGTGGCCAACACCCAGACCAGGAGACAGCCGGAACGGGAGAGGATATTTATGTATGTATCAATCACTTCGTATGACAAAAGTTGGATGAAAACGAATACACAAGAAAGTAATGGATAAATCGATACATAATAAAGTGAAAAAAACTATTATTTAAAAGACAAAAGAGCACTGACACAAGCAACCAGACTGAAGTGAAAGTATAGACTCTAGCTAGAGACCACAGATTGGATTATGGGGTTTTAAAAACAATCTACGTAAATTTAAAAAACATCCATCCAAAAACCACACAACCTTTTTAGAGATTATGTATATTTTATTTTAATTACTTGTGCTAGTACAGTTTGAATCTATAGTGTACCCTGTAATTTTATTAGGAAATAAATTTGGAACACTTATTACTAATTAAAAAACAAGAATAAGTTTGCAATAATTTATGTAAATAACATTATTACAAAATACATTGTCTTAAAAACATAACTGTATTGCATTTTTCTTTTCATGTAATACTGAAACAATTTCAAAAGTTTGGCCTTTTGTTAAAACTTACAGATTGCTTTGCTTTATCAAAGTTAATTTCCTATATTATATTTTTATAAGTAATTCCAGCATGCTATTTTCTTATTACTTACGGTTGTTGGGTGACATGGAGAACCAACCCTGAGTGCTCACTGCTATCAACTGTTTAACAACACATGTACAGGTAAAGCAACTTTATATTTGAAGGGACTACTTGCAGTGTGTTGTGTTTGTAAAATAAGTACTTGAAATGTTTTTACAAACTTAATATTTAGATAGACAACTCTGTATTCATTAATTAATTACTTATATTGTGTGTGCCTTTTGTCAGTGAAACTGTTAAGCAATTTCCATCCTGAATCCATTCTGGAGCCCTTGTATTGGATCTTTGGCCAGTTAATGAAAGAAAGTATTTTGGTACTTTTTGGCACCAAAATTATTCCAGGTTAAACGGACGAACCTCTACAAGCTGTAATTTTTATTATGCATCTTTAAAATGTACATACCACTTGAATGGTTGTTGCTAGAGTAGTGAAGTTGAAGAACGAGATATTGAATAGATGAATTGCCTCCCACTTTGAATCCCACCTCAGGAGGGAGCTGCAATGTTGTTGCATTGCGGGCCCAGGCATACAGGAACTGAAGCAAATACATTCCTTACAAACTGAAGAGTTTGGCAGTGTGATTTTTATAATCCATGATTTTAGCCCCTGAGCGCTTGCACTACAATATATTATGCACTTACAAAATTTCTGCCAGTCAGCTAAAAAAAAATAGTTAACTATTGTACGTTACTTTTCAGAAAAGGTGTTCATCGGACATGGTAAGCGCATTTTGGACAAGCGGAGAAGAGTACATTTTAACAATAAATAAACGGTATCAGCAATCTTCCACATACTTTCTCCCATTAGCGTGTCAACAACTCATATCATGGGTAAGTTATGGGAGTAGCTATGATTTTTATGGAACAAAATATGTCCATGGGAAAATTCAGGAAAGGTGCAATAACTTTTAAACCATAATTTATGCTGGACTATATTGTAAATTAGAAGCTATAAAAACTATTTGCCTGATCACATATGTAAAAAAACGTCAAAACACAAGTAAAAATTTAAGTCTCACCTAAATGTACCTTTAATAAAAACACAACTCTATTTGCAAATTGTACTATAGAAAGTTAAGAAACGAACAATGTTAACAGTTGAAATATTCATAATATAGATGAATATACATACTTGTGCCCCAGATTCACAGGGTGGGGTGTTGTCCAGATCATCATCTTTAATAACACTGTTGGCATCGTCATCACAGCTCCTGAAGTGAAAAATAAATTAAAAACAGAATAAAATCATTGTGTAACTGTAAGAAAAGTAATAATCCCTTCATAACCAGTCTATGTGCTTTAAATGTATCGTACTAGCGCAACTAAAAAATAACTCAGACACAATTTTTATCAGCTGTTATATTTTTGTAAACAAACTATCCTTAAATTGTGTTTTCGCCTTTTTACTGCAAGAAACTTGCAAAGATGAAATCATACAGCTTAAATAGTAAACTTACCACAAAGGTTTATTACTGCCAGGTTTTGTACAGCCATACAACACCATATGATGGATTTTATCCATGGAAGCTTTGGGTTCAAATCCCACTGTAAAATATATATTTACCTTAATAATCTATATGGCAAATCTATGTGTTTCATGCATTTAATTTAAGACAAAATAAATTATAAAAATCGGTTGGGTACAAATGCCAAATGAACTCAAAAATAAACGGTATCAGCATTCTGACACATACTTTCTCCCATAAGTTTGTCAACAACCTTTATCATGTGTAAGCGGTGAAAGTAAATATACGGAAATGTGATTTGTACAATTTTGTTCAGAATTTAAAGGACTACATACTAAATGTTTTTCAAAATCGTTCGGGCCATTTTTGTGAAAATCTGATTTTTCCGTTATTTTATGGGGTTTTTATGGGGAAATAGCATAATTTACAATAACTTTTGAACCAAAATTTTTACAGAAGTGGGATTTGTACCATTTTGTTCAGAATATAAAGGACTATAACATACAATTTTTTTATCAAAATCGTTCGGGAGGTTTTTGGGAAAATTCAATTCTTCTGTTATTTTATGGGGTTTTATGGGAAAATTCCCATTAAATATTGAAATTTTTTAAAAATGAAAAAACTATCAAAACTTTAAGAACAATCTATGTTAAAATAAAACCGGAATTTTTCCAAAATCCTATTTTTTGTTATTTTATGGGGTTTTTATGGGAAAATAACATAATTTAGCATAACTTTTGAACCGTAATTTTTACAGAAATGGGATTTGTACCATTTTGTTTAGAATTTAAAGGGCTACAACATACTAAATTTTTATAAAAATCGTTCGGGCCATTTTCGAGAAAATCCGATTTTTCAGGTTTTTTATGGGTTTTTATGGGAAAATCCCCATTAAAAATAAAAATTTCAAAAAAATGAAAAAAACGCCTGGAGATACCATGGATTAGAACCTACATACCAAAATGGCCCGAACGATTTTTATAAAAATTTAGTATGTTGTAGCCCTTTAAATTCTGAATAAAATGGTACAAATCCCATATCTGTAAAAATTACGGTTCAAAAGTTATGGTCAAATATGTTATTTTCCCATAAAAACCCCATAATGTTATAGTCTTTACGGTTTTGATAGTTTTTTTTAATTTTTTAGAAATTTTTTTTTATGGGGATATTCCCATAAAATAACGGAAAACTATGATTTTCCCAAAAATGGCCCGAACGATTTTGATAAAAAATTAGTATGTTATAGTCCTTTATATTCTGAACAAAATGGTACAAATCCCATTTCTGTAAAAATTACGGTTCAAAAGTTATTGTAAATTATGTCATTTCCCCACAAAACCCCCATAAAATAACAGAAAAATCGGATTTTCACAAAAATGGCCCAAACGATTTTGATAAAAATTTAGCATGTTATAGTCCTTTAAATTGTGAACAAAATTATACAAATCCCATTTGCGTATATTTACTCTCACCACTTACATATGAAAAAGGTTTTTTACAAACTTATGGGAGAAAGTATGTGTCAGAATGCTGATACCGTTTATTATAATTTATTTTGTCTTAAATTAAATGCATGAAACACATAGATTTGCCATCAAGAATGGTCATTCATTTAGCTACGTACTATATTATTTGACCAAAAAACTTCAATTTAAATTTTGTTCTCTTTGAATTATTACTTTAATTAAAGATGAATTTTACGAGTTTTAATTACATTGTCCTATTTTGGTCTAAGATCCTTTAGTGAAATACAGTACCAACTTTCATTTGAGCTATTGATTTTTGAGATCAGACGTACCTGAAGCATGCTGCTGAATCAGGAATGAACAATAATTATAATTATTTTAGAACTTACCTGCAATCGAATCAATATGTTACGTAACTCCATTTTTATTTGAGTTTTTTTTATATCTTGGTCTAAAGACTCCTATAAATAAAGGCTTTCATTTGAGATATTGATCGTTTGAATCAGTTTAGTTCAAGATACTGTATTACTCAATCAAAAACCATAAAATTGATTATTTCTTGGATATGGAATTTGATTTTAGATAGATTTCCTCAATTCTAATTACGTTATCCTATATGTTTTGATCTAAGAACCTTCAGTGATATACCAGCGTGATATAATTGAGTTATTGTTTACTAAGATCACAAGTACCTAAAGCATGTTGCTGAATCACGAACAAACCAAATTGTTCCGAAAATGGAGTTATTTATCAACAATTGATAGCTAAATGATTTAGCTTGAACCTCAACCTTTAAAAATGCGGAAAATATTGTGAAAATATTAAATAAATCGGTGTATGAAAATGAGATAGAAAAAGTGAACTATTGTGAAATAATGAATCCTTGAAGGACTTACCAATGTAGTATTCTTTGTTGAAGTTTATCCTCATGGGAGAGCACAATAACATCTCTGGCTGAAATAACCACTCTTAGTGAAAGGGAGTAATTGGCTTTGAAGTAATTCATTGAATAGACTGATCACAAAATTGTAAACAAAATCTCTTAAACATTTGAGTTGTATGATATACAGGGTCTCCTCAAACTCCAAACGGTGTATTTAAATAAATAGGTCAATTATAAACCAGTGAATTTCTAGCTTACTCTACGCATGCGTCATCCAACTTTTTTTATTTTTTTTTATTGTAACCTTGCTGTTTTAAAATATTTCTTAATGCTTTTTGTACAATAAACCTTCTCAACATCTGTGTTGAGGGAGATTGATAATGTTTAATATTCTTGGGTTCTTGAAAATGAAGCCATCAGCTTCAAATCTGCAGTTTTGCTTCAGCCGGGCAATTTGTATTTCAGTCAATAGTTTCCTACATAAAATTACAGTACCGGGAGACCAAGCATGCTCGTTTGTGGTTAGGGTTTAATAGTAAAAAAATATCTTAAACATACATTTTATAATGTACGAAAACATTTTTATTACAAACTATAGATATGATGGCTAAAATAATAACAACTCTGTATTGTAAAAGTATGCAATAAAAAAAGATACACTTTTATGATCTTCCAAGTTTGAGTGCTACTTGCACAGGATTTTTTCTCCCCTCTAGTCATTGAAACCGGTTGTTTGACTTTTACTCTCATTAACAGAGCAGATACAAATATGATAAAACAAAATCATATAATTTCAAAATGGTTTGTGATATCGATTTTTAGCTATTTTTCTACTACCTCTAAAGAAATTGAAATATCATCTGTCTTTTCATAGGGATTTAGCATACAGTAATAGTTTTGTGCCAATTAAAACCTCCAGATGTAATTAATTAGTTTACTTGAAAGTTTTAATGGGAGAGGGCTAAGTAAAATGATAAGTATTTGATCGGAACCTTTTTCCCCTATATCAAGTAATCTTCAGTGTAATCTTTGCTCAATATTTACAACCGATGTTTTTCCCTTTGTACTTTATTTTGCAATTTGCTATTATACTGTGGATGGCTTGTTATAAACACATGTGGCAAGACTTTTGTTTACTTTTTCCTTGTGGTTTTTGTTCAACCAACATAGTTAACGTTAATTTTTTTAATTTTCAAATGAGTTTGTAGCAAAATATGATTTTTCCTTAGGTAGTGGCTGTCACCAATCACGTTTTAGGGCTTTAGTCCCTAATTCCAAAATTTAGTAAAAATCCTTCCGCTGAATGTTGAGATATACATTACAGAAAGACAGACATACAGACAAACAGACGGACAGACATAGCTCGTATTGGAGTATAGGATAGGATAGGATCAGGTAACATTTACAAAAAAAAAAAAAAAATGCTTGTAGATTAAGCAATTAATTAGGGCTTAACTAGAAGGGATCATCAAATATAAGTTAGTAGGCTTTTTATAAAATAATAAAATAACCAAGTGGTATTGATTTTTACACCGAACCCTTTCGAACACGGTACCCAAACATCCATTTCACTTACCAGGTTTGGATGAACATTTGGCATAAAAAGTCCAGATTTTTCCACTTCAAATCCATTACCAGAAGAAAAAGTCAGAAAAGTGAACCCTACAAGGAAAAATCTGTGATTGATAAACTTTTCCATGATAACTCGACTGCTTCAGTCAAACCAAGAGATACTTTGATGAGCTACTGGCTGTAAACCAAAGATTTACGATCCGATAATGTAAAATTAACTTCATTGTTTGCTATCATTTAATTACTTATTTACAACCTAGAAATATGGAAAGCTTGAATATTATCTGCAAAACTTTGTGCATCAGAACCTAGTTACTATTAACAAAATGAGTGGTTTATCATCCAAAAAATACGAGAAGTAGACAATAAAATAGTGTTCTTGGGAATTGTACTCAGTTTCCAGACATTTTCATCTCTATAGATTTGTTGCCAACTGAAAATAAACATGTGCCTGGTTAAAATTTCTATTTTAAAACAAGTTCTGCCCTACAATTTTAGGTATTTTTTCTTAATTTTCAGTAAAGTTTTATCCACAAGTTGTTAAACATACAGTTTTTATTGTAAAGGACATTGTTTATCTTGCTTAAAATGTGATTTTAAAGTTATATGTGATTATAAACCTCTTTTGTTTAAGGATTGTAAGTTCTAATATTAAAATTACAACAAACTTATGCAAGTAGTCCAGTCAATGAATGATCCAAAAGTGGGTGCGTTGTTTTGGTATGTTAACACCCTAAGCCCCTTGAAGAAGTTTCTGAAGGAATCGCTTAGTTACCTGCTCACGCACTCTACACCTCATTCCTTGACTGGACTAAAAGGAAAAAAACTTGTGAATGATATAAAACAACATTGTGGATATTTTTAGGTATGCACTGTGGATGCAATGCCCCATGGTGTGGATAACGTCCCCACTAGTGAGTACTATGAGTGCTATCCTGATAACTAGACCAATTCCGTTAATTACAAGGAAAAAATGTTGTTCGGATTCCACAATAAACTCTCTAGGTCCCTTAGCTGCCATTGGCTGTATAGGCTATTAATTAACAGCTGTGTCTAAGGAACATGTCGGCCTTATAGTCACTAACAAGACTACAAGATCGCGCCACTCATCCTTTACTCATGGCTGTGATATTTTTAATTTGATGCCTAGTTAATTTTTCAATTTATTTCAATTTAAATTATGGTTTCGGTTTAACAGGATGTATAATTCATAAAGTTTCACTTTAATTCTTAAGTTCAACTGTATTTAAAAATTGCAAATAATAAAATACATGCACAATTTTAATTTATTCGTAATTTATTTCTCCCAGTCCGAGATATACTTACATCTAGGAGTATTGATCTGGTACTGATTCTGCAATCAGCATCGACTCTTTTGTTTGCATTATTTCATGTAATTTCATAGCTTCTTTCACAAAACAACTATAAGACTTGCTGGATAAAACTTGCTGGTTATGGAATTTTAGTGTTTATATGTCTATATTTATTGTTTTGAATTTAATTACTTACAGTTTTAGCCAAGTAACTCTACACTCGACCGTTGTCTTGTTTTCACTATTTCACTTAGTTCCTTCCATCCAAGGCCTTGACTTGTTTAGTGATGCACTAAAATTATAAATACGCTACTCCATTTCCCAGACATTATTTTTGAGGTAAAAAAACTTAATACTTTTTTTATAACAAAAAGAAACTTAATAAGTTGATACACACTTAAAAATAGAATCATCCTAGGCTATTCACACAATATTACAAATTATTGAAAAATTAAAAACATAAACATAAACTGTAAACAATCCTACTTTGACAGTTCTGCTTGGTTCAAATTAGCTGTTGTCATAAATTCAAACAAAAAATAATAGTGCTGCCAACTGTTACTTGGTTATTCATTATTTTGTCAGCTGATTCAACTAAACAAGTTGGTTCTATGATTTTCAATAGCATTTAAAAGTTATAAGGTTTACCGACAGGGTGCAGCGCTATTATTTTTTACTTTCTCCCCCTATACCATAGTATATGGAGAAAGTATTGTTTTCATCAAAATTTTCGAGTTTGAGTTTTGAGTGGATATATTCGTTTTGGGTCCCCCTAACCCCAAAAAATGGTTTTCGAAGTGATGTCTGTGTGTGTGTACACAGAGCTGGATGTGAGAGGGACCACACCTGTGGTCCGATTTCGATGAAATTTAGTATATGTAGGTTCTAATCCATGGTATCTCCAGGCGTTTTTTTCATTTTTTTGAAATTTTAATTTTTAATGGGAATTTTCCCATAAAAACCCATAAAAAACCGGAAAAATAGGATTTTCTCAAAAATGGCCCAAAACGATTTTGATTAAAATTTATTATGATGTAGCCCTTTAAATTCTGAACAAAATGGTACAAATCCCATTTCGGTAAAAATTACGGTTCAAAAGTTATTGTAAATTATGTTATTTTTCCATAAAACCCCCATAAAACAACGAAAAATAGGATTTTTGAAAAAAATCCGGTTTTGAATTAACATAGTATGTTATGGTCCTTACAATGTTCATAGTTTTTTTCATTTTTTAGAAATTTAGATTTTTAATGTGGATTTTCCCATAAAACCCCATAAAATAACGGAAAAATGGGATTTTCCTAAAAATGGCCCGAACGATTTTGATGAAAATTTAGTATGTTATAGTGCTTTATATTCTGAACAAAATGGTACAAATCCCATTTCTGTAAAAATTACGGTTCAAAATTTATTGTAAATTATGTTATTTTCCCATAAAAACCCCATAAAATAACAGAAAAATCGGATTTTCCCAAAAATGGCCTAAACGATTTTCATAAAAATCTAGTATGTTATAGTCCTTTAAATTCTGAACAAAATTGTACAAATCCCATTTCCATATATTTACTCTCACCACTTACACATGATAAAAGTTGTTGACAAACTTATGGGAGAAAGTATGTGTCAGAATGCTGTTACCGTTTATTTCTAATTATGATAACAGCCAATATGAAGTAGGCAGCATCAAAAAGATGTGAAACACAATGAGAACTGTCAAAGTAGGATTGTTTACAGTTATGTTAATATTTTTAATTTAATAAATAATTTGTGATATTGTGCAAACGTTTGATGGTATACTTTTTTTCTATTGTTTAGGTGCAGTGGTAGAACAGTTAGTATGGCTATGGTAGATGTGTAATACTATAGCATGCCGTAAATATGAAGGACCCAATTTTCTCAAACCTTGTCCTCTCCCATAGCAAACTCAAAGCACGAGTATAACTGCAATAAGCATTGTATACTTATTGTCGGGACCACGTAAGTTTGCAGTTGGTGGCAACCAATCACAAGACGAGGCTAGTGCGACGTTGCCACATCACCCATTGGCAACACTAATAAAAATATACAAAGCTATATTTTCAAATCAGCTGGTATCGTTAGATTTGGCAACACCACACCGTTCTCATTGGTTCATTGAAAACCATATGGTAAATAGGCTCCTCCCTCAACTGCAAACTTATGTGGTCCCGACAATATACTCCAACCCCGTATGAAGAACGGGTAGGGACTCGTCTGCTAGTTCCTTAAATATGAATACTCATAAGGTTAACATGGGAAACTCCAGAGCCACTGGGGAGGAGCCCGAAAGTCAGATCAGAATAAAAACTACTTTGTTTACTATTTAATGCCTAAAGAATCAGTATACAAAATTTCAGCCTTATAGCTAGTCTGGAAGTTGGAGAATTAGTGATGAGTGAGTGAGTGAGGGCTTTGACTTGTATATGTTTAGATTATATACATTTACTAGCCGTACCCGGGGGCTTTGCCCCGTTTAACTTTATAAGTGAGCTCGTTCGCATGGCTCAATCATGTCCTGGTTGAAGTTCGTTAGCTACGCTCACTCACTTTTAGGTTGGAGCTCGTTCGCTGGGCTCACTTGCCTTCAGGTTAGCTCGTTCGCCAAGCTAACTTGCCTCCAGGTTGAAGTTCGTTCGCTACGCTCACTCACAAAAGAAATAATAGTGCTGCACCCTGTTGGTAATCCTTGTAACCTTAATGTTATTGAACATAGAACAGAACCAACTTGTTTAATTGAAACAGCTGTTAAAGATTCATTAATTCCATTTCAATATGAGTACTCATAAGGTTAACATGGGAAACTCCAGAGCCACTGGGGCGGAGCCCGAGAGTCCGATCAGAATAAAAACAGCTTAGTTTTCCTATTTAATGCCTAAAGAATCAGTGTACCAAATTTCAGCCTCCTAGGTAAATGGGAAGTAAGAGAGTTCGCAAACCAGCAGGATCGGAAGATGGGAACGGGGGTTTATGGGGAGTTTTATGGGGTAAAAATGGGGTTTTCTGATTTTTCACCTTAAAAATAAAAATTGTTCAATTTATTTCCAAATTATTTTGTAGAGCTGACAAAAAAATAATTTGGTATGCTGAAGCGTTGTATGCCTAATAAGTGTAAATTTTAAATTACCATGTTATTCTTATGGAGAATATAATAGGTTATAGCTTGCTTGTCTATAGACATATTTTAATGAAATTGGAATTTTTTACTTCATACTTAACTTTCAATATTTCAATACAAAAACACACCTTATTTTCTACCCTTTAGCAGCAAACCTAAGTACTCTTTCTAATTAATCTATATATTAATTTGAAACTGTTTTTCTTTGTGACAGCTAATTTGAGAGAACGACTGGGCGTAGAAACTCGGTAGAGGTGTCTAAAGAAAGGTCTTGGTCTGTAGATGAGCCATCAAAAGAGAAACATGGTGAATTCCCTTGGGGCTCTGCCCCAGTGGCCTTTGAATTCCCATCCCATGTTATTCTTATGGAGGAAAAACTGGGTTTTTATTTATTTATTTATTTATTTTCCAATAATCACATAACATCATATTCAGACAGGTGATTCGTCATTGTTACAATATTTTATAGTCTCTATTATACTAAAATTATTACTAAAATAAATTTCATATGCTGAGCCTTAAAATCTACATAGCTTCCATATATTCCTCCAATGAGAAGAAGGCCTTTTCCAAAAGAAAGTTTTTTAACTTCTTTTTGAATTTAGGGAATGAATCAGTGTCCCTAATTGAAGAAGGTAATTTGTTATATATTTTTGGGCCCATGTACTGAGGAGATAAATGGAATACTTTAAGTCTGTGTTGAACTGGTTTTATATTGTTTTTAAATCTAGTCTTGTGAG